TACTTGGCCAGCATCTATGAGCCATACACTTTCTATGGTGGAAGGTAATTAGCAAGATTCTTTAGGTTCCATTTGGAAACATGAAATACTTGAAACCATTTCATTCTTCTGGGGATCCAAGCATACCCGTATTGCATTACTTCAATATAGTCTATGCACTTTTTTTGCAACTTTTAATGGCCCTAAATCTGCAGGTTTGATAACAGCAATACTCAGAAGCTGATGGAATGCATGTCGAAAGAAGAAAGATGGCAATTTGGGTTTGACGTTGAGAGTTTAGATTGGAAAGATTACATATCAAATGTTCACATTCCTGGGCTAAGGAGGCATGTCATGAAAGGAAGAGGGTCATGCGGCTAATGGCCCACAATGATTCTGCATTGCTAATGTTGGCAGCTTATTGTAACGGAAGTATAGTTGTGTCGCCTTTTTTTCTTTTCTTTGGTATTTTCCTCTCTTCCTTTTTCTCCAACAAGATGGGAGCAAGGGAATTGCATGTCAATTACTGATTATATAGATGTAACATCCTTTCCATTTTAAGTCTACCATAAGTGCAGTTTGGGGTTCCTTAGCTTTAGCTTGGAACTGATGTATGTATGTATTTATACTGTACTTCGAACTTCTGTCAGATCATTATCACATCCTACTTTTATAATGATAAATTCTAAGTTCTAATTATGAATAGACAAATTCAACACTATATATTATACCATCATTTAAAACAAAAAATGATAGATTTTTATGCAGAGTGAAAGAACCACCAAAAGTCACTCGTTGGTACTTCCTAGTTCCTATTTATTGGTCAATCCAACTCTTCTTTCCTTCGTTATTTTTATAAAATATGAGATGTGTTCAGTATCTCGGATACTTTTCACTTCATCGCTCAATGACTTTAAAAGGTATGTGTGGCATATGTTGTCTAATGAACTTTTAAAAAATAATATTAAAAACTTATAATGATCATTTGAAACTAAAACCTAAAAAGAACTTTTTCTATTTTAGAGTTTTGGTTTAAGGAAGAACACAGAAAGTTTCTCATTTGAAAACTCTAGTGTGTCCAGTTTTGTAGTAACAACACACACGCACAGAATGACAATGGATGGGTATAAACTTACGGTGGATGGTACAGTACCCTACTACCCAATTGCAATATTCTAATTAGTGAAGGGTACCCGAGAGTACAGTAAAATTTGATTAAACCTAAAATTGACTGAAATGAATTTCGTTCCACTAATTCCATGAAATACATCAAATGTAATCTCAGGAAGGAAATAGATAAGAATCGGATATCAAATCACACAAGAGACAAAGGCTATTGATGGAGCTGAAACAGAGAGTAAATTCTAGGGTTTCTGTGTCAAATCTACAAGGAGGAACCGAGGAATACTCAACACCATGGTTAAAAGCTGAAAAAAGAAAGACAAAGACGCGATCTTTGTGCAATTGGCATTTGGACAAGGATTAAATATCACAGAAAGCTATCAAAAATCAAAATGATTTCCAATGTCCACTACGCAGTACGAACAAGCTATGACATTTATACAATAAAATCCGCCAATGTTTGCACTCAAAGATAGACGAGAATGGGAGATGGAGAAGCAGAGGGAGAAGGACGGTACCCATGCTGGCGGGACGCCTGACAGAGCATTGAGCCTACGGCAGCTCGAAGCCGACATCGCTGTTGCTTCATCGATGTAGGGCCATACAACTCCCCTCTCTGGCAAAACACATGTCCATGGACTGCTGTCTGTCGGTATAATACTGTCCTCCATATCCCTCAACATAGCAAATAAAATCTAGTTTATTAATGTATCTGAATTATTATTTTTTGAAAAATATTATGCATTTTTCAAAAAATTCTATGAATTTATTAATGCAAAAAAATATTCTGCATTAACAATAATACTATGAATTTTTGTCGCTTTTATTCCTCCCATCATTATATCACTATTAGTCTGGTAAGGGTCTTTCAACTATTATGATAAAAACACTTTTGGTACCTATCTTTAAAATTTCTCATACTTAGTTTTTCGACTTTTATAAAAGTGACACTTTCCTTTTTAACCTAATTTTCACACTAAGGATATTTTTACTTGGACTTATTTCAGTCCCAAACAAGTTCAGACTAGACAAAATCAAACCAGATTAGACCAGACTAGAAAAATTCGAGCCAAGTAAAAACATCCTAAGTGAATGACTGAAAATGTAATTATGATAATAGATGAAGGACCAAAAGTATTTTATAATACTTATAGGACTAAACGTGGAAATGTTCAAAGTCGAGGATAAAAAATACATCTTTCACGGTATATAATAATGGACCCAGAACTTTTTTCTAGGGAAAGCGCCGGGTGCAGATGGAAACATATATGAATTTTGCTTCGTGTACATGCTCAGTTACTCATAGGGGTGAGGTCGGGGGTCGAGGTCGGGGTATTAGCCGAGGTAGGGTGGGGGTAGGGTCGTGGTTAGGGGTAAAGGCTGGGGGTAGTGGGTAAGGTGGGGTCGGGGTAATATAGGGTAGGGTAGGGGTAGGTATAAAAGGGGTGGGGGTAGGATGGCGGGTAGCGTGGGGTTGGGATGGGGGTAGGGCCGAGGTAGGGGCATGTGGTAGGGGTGGGTAGGGGGTGGGGTAGGGTGGTAAGGGATAGGGGTGGGGTAGGATGGGTTGGGTCGGGATCAGGGTGGGTCCGAGGTAGGGGCAAGTGGTAAGGGGTGGGGTAGGGTCGTGGTTATGGGTAAGGGTGGGTAGGGTGGGGTCGGGATATTGTAGGGTAGGGTAGGGCTAGGGGTCGGGGTGGGGGCTAGGCTGAGATAGGGGCATGTGGTAGGGGGTTGGGTAGGGTGGTAAGGGCTAGGGGTAGGAGGTGGGGGTGGGGTGGTGGGATGGTGCTAGGGTGGGGTCGGGATCAGGGTGGGGTGGTAGGATGGTGCTAGGGTGGGGTCGGGATCGGGGTGGGGCCGAGGTAGGGGCAAGTGGTAGGGGTGGGGTAGGGTCATGGTTAGGGGCAAGGGTGGGGATGGTGGGTAGGGTGGGGTCGGGATCAATAAAGTAGGATAGGGTAGGGGTGGGGGTGTGACACCGCACCCGGATGTACTTGAATGTGAAATTTGATATGTATTTGAATTTCCTAGCGAATGAAATCGTGTAACAGATTGGTATATTTAATTAACGTGTGATTATTTAAATTATTTAACGGGCCCATAATAAGGAGTATATACTACCAAATATTTAGTTGGGTCATCGTAATAATTTTAGAATCCCAATGGAATGTCATCTAAGGTTGATAAAAAATATTCGGACGACCCGAGTGCTATTTTGGCCCAACCTGCCAGAAATAGCAATAATAATTAGGAGAGATTTCCTACACCCATTTTGGGAGTATTCTACACACTTTAAGCTCTCCAATAATGGGGAGGGGGACAACCAAGCATGGTTGGTGCGGACTAGTGAAGGAGTGGATGGGTAGAGAAAAATCCATACACCCCATGTCCTCTCAAAGCATTATTTTTGGCTTTGGTTGAGGATAGATACCTCCCCTCTTCATTCTATACCATACGCACAAGTCAAGGGAGAGAGAAGCTCAAAGAAGAAGCTCTCACAAGTTCTGAACGTGAAGGAGCACAAGGAAGAAGGAAATCCAAGAGGAAACTAACTAGGAAGAAAGGTAAGAACTCAAGTATGTTCTTTAAATATTTTATTGTTGTATGATTTTTAAGAAATCATATGATGGATTAAACTTGAAGTTCTACACGTTTAAAAGTGTAGAATATTGATATAAAGTGGTGGTAATTAACTTAGAAGAGTTGGTGAATCGATATGAGTCAAAATCGCCGGAAACCGCCAAGAATAGAAAGATGTTCGTAGCTGTAGACCACGAAAGCCGCCGACCTTTTGCAAAAGCCGCCCGGCTTTCGTCTGCTGCCCAGGATTTTCATCTACAATCGGCTTAGAACGGGGATTGATTGAAGGGCGTAACAAAGGCAACTATTTCAGCACTTCATAAGGTGAGGATGGCTGACTATATTGCTTATAATTAGTGAGTTAATTTCATGAGATTACCTAAGGTAATTATGTGACACCGCACCCGAACGTCCTTGAAAATTCAATTTAAAAATTCAAAGTTTATGTATTGAATTTCTGATTCCCAAACAATTGTAAATGATTGATGTTTTTACGTAATTAATGATCGATTATTATACCGTTCGAACTCGTATATTAGTGTCGGGCTTGCGAATACTCGTTTGGGCGTTATTAATAAATAAAAGAGCCTAACATTATCTAAATAGTGATACATAATCTTTCAAGACAATTTGAGGAAGGACGGGCGGCCCAACCATTATTTCGGGCCCAATCTGCTAAAAATAGCAAGTATTTGAGAATGGCGTCCTAGACCCACTCGGGAGTGACTCACACGGCTAGTGCCCAATAATATGAATGACAAATGTCAAAATAAGTGATAGAATGATTAGAGAAGAATACAAATGCCTATAGCCCCATCTTTGACATTATTGAGCTAAATAATGGGAGTATGATTTTCCTTCTATGATATCCATCAAGTAAATTATTGAGATGAGTCTACACATATTGGAGATCAATAATGTGATGTAGGAAGTTGACTTGTTCTAAATAAATTAGGATGAGTACAAAAAGACATCTTTGACAAGAGATAAAACAATAGGACCCATCTTCCCATTTTTGGAAGTATTGGTAGATATTTTGGACCCCAAATTGAATGGGATCATTTGGAGACCATCCCACATGGCTTGAGTACCTGAAAGACAAAGGAAATAAGGGTTATTGACTTCATGGGGCGGACTTTGGCTCACCTACTCAAAACAACTTCAAGAGAAAACAAAAACAAAGGAGGTCCACCCCATATTTGTTCACAAGCCAAATATCTTCCCATGCCCTCTTGTAAGCCACATGATTTATCATTTTTTTTAGAGCTATTAGTCACCTCCACAACCCCCATTCGAACTCCCAAGATAAGAGAGAAGGAGAGAGCCATATACTCCAAGGGAGAGGTGAAGAGAGAAGCTGGCCGCAGGATTCGTTTTCAAGTAGATAGGGTTACTTGTTTGATCCATAACTTGAGCTTCACTCATCCAAATAAGGCGTATGATATACCAAAAGAAATCTATCAAGACGAGGAATCCGTGAAGGTCTGGTTTGCAGAAATCGTAGTAGTGGAAGGCTTCCAAATCGTCCGAGCAAAACACAACCTCGCAGGAGAGGATTTAATCTTCTAAAGTGAGTTTTAACCCCAAAACTTTACTTTTCATTTTCCAAATGATATGAAAGATTGGTGGGACTATTATACACTAATTCAAGTGTATAATATGTCCTTATAAAGTTATTTTATGTGTGTAAATGTTGGATACTAACCTAGAGAAAATCTTGGAAACTAGGAAACGAGTTAGCCGGAAAACACCCATTCTAGGGGCTGTTTTCGTATCAACGATTAGGGGTTGAACTAGCACTTTGAGGGGGCTGTTTAACACTCATTTCTAAGCAAGGAATCAGTTCTCAAGCTCCCTTGGCCGAGGCTTTGGTCATTGGATCGAGAAGGAAAGTTTTAAAGCTCATTTGAGGTGAGGATTGACATCTAATTGCTTACAACTTGTAGGTTAAGCATGAGATTACCTAAATGCCTAAATCATAATTTTTATGGATTATGATGATTATATTATGATGAAATATGGATATGGTTGCCAAAGAATGAAATTGGAAATGAGTTGAGAATGTATGAATAAAATGAGATTAAATGAGTTATAAATGAACTATTTTGTGAAATAGGCATTATACTCATGTATGAATTATGTGGATACATAAATGAATGTTTATGTATTGAGATTGAACACTTAAGTTGCTGCTACATAATTATAAATATGTAGAGGATTACAAATAATGAGCATATTTGTATGATAACAATAATCTTAATAGTATTGAAATACTAGTTAGTGATTATTGGAAATTATTGATGGAATTGATCCTAGGGATTGGATTGTATGAAATGCACTTGAATATACTTCAAGTGTATATGGTGACTTAGTATGAAACTAAGGTTAAGTGGTGGGAAGTCTTTAAGGATGACCCATGGTAGTTTATTGATATGTTAATTCTAGGCATAGGGTTGCTTAAGAATTGGACCTTCATGCATGGTGATGTGATAGAGCCGAGCTCTAGGATGCATGGTAAGGTGGTAGACTTGTAGTCTATGTATTCAATAGCTAGAGCCGAGCTCTAGGGTTTGTGTGGTGATGTGATAGAGCCGAGCTCTAGAACGCAAGGTAAGGACATTGACCCGAGTGACATGAATTGTATGGTGATGTCTTAGAGCCGAGCTCTAGAATACAATGTCATGTGATAGGTTTGGACTCTATGAGTTGTCGTGGCTTATAGCCACGGGGAATGGGAATGATGATTTCTAAATGAACATGGGCCCACGGGCTGACTACTTGACTTTTACATAAAGTAAGTATATTTTGAAAAGGGGTAACTGGGGGTTACGGCCTAGATTATATTATCACCCTATTTGAGGGTCTTGTGTTTGAAATACTTGTTTTATATCTATTAGATGTCATCCACACCAGCACTTTATAGCCCTATAGAGTGCTGACCCCTTCGGGGGCGTCCCACTACCATTTTTCAGGTTGAGGCTAGAGCTTGCTTCCTGTGCTCGTTGCTCGAGAGATCATCTAGGAGGGAAGACTTGGTTCATGCTCCCTCCATTCTGTTTTTAAACATTAATAAACATGCTCATGAATATTTTACTATAGAGCATGCGTGCTCATGTTAGCCACGTGTGGCATTTGTGTTCAAACTATGTTTTCCGCTACGTATTCGATTGCTTGTTATGTTGTTTATGGATGGCTTACGTGTGAATGATATTCGAGACGCCTTGTATAATATGAATGTGTTGGACTGCGGTTGACTATTCGTATTGTACGGCGGGTTGTTGACGTGTCCGGGGAGGTCCGGGGCGTGACAATTTAATTGGTATCAGAGCCTTAGTCCATAAACTTCATAATGAAGTCTCAAAATTCTCTTTTTGAAAACCATGAGCATAGAAGTTTTGTACTTGGAGAGCTTTTGGTACTTGGGTTGCAAGGTCTCTAATTGTTAAGATGGTACCCTTAGCAATTGGTATGGCGGTGACTCGAGCCAAAATGTGTCTTCAGTACCTATCCGTCAATTGACATTTGATACGAGTCTAACGACTCTTTCCAAATTTCTTTCAGAAATGGACCGTGGTGGCAGGATTACTAGGAGAAACCCGACTGGCCGTGTACCAGTGGAGACTGGACAGGGCAGTCGAAGGACCTCTAGGGCATCTAGAGGAGCTGGCCGTGGAGGCCGATCACAGACCGTGAGTGACGGTCATGTCGACACAGAAAGTGAAACCTACTGGTCCTATGAGGACTCGACCTATCGACCGGAAACTGAACCGGTTGAGACCCCTTATGAGGGGGATGATGATGATGTAAGCGATGAGGTGGAAAATGGATCCTTAGCACGGATTGAAGCACTACTCCTACAGTACCACCGTGAGCGTGAGGAGAGGAGAGAACGCCGAAGGCGCCGAGCCGGGCAACCTTCGGGCGGGGCTTCAAGCGGGAGAAGCCATGGCGACTCTAGGGCCCACATTGAGCCACATGGGGGCCGGGGTGATGGAGGTCCAATCATAAGGATCTCCAAGTACATCAAAGAGGCACGAGACTTGGGGTGCAAACCGTTCGATGGAACGGGTGACATCTCCATTTCGGCGCAATGGATTAAGAGGCTGAATGAGGCGGCCCTGGACATGCAACTCACCCCCGAATATAAACTAAGGGTTGCGGTGAGATTACTTGAAGGTATGGCATCCAAGTGGTGGGATGGGACCAAAAGCAAATATGGTGAGACCGTCACTTGGGAGAATTTCCGGGAGGAATTCTTTGCACAATATTACTCGGATTTCGAGGTGAACAAAAAGGTGAGGGAATACACCCTTCTAACCCAAGGGGGTAACATGACGGTGAGGGAACTTGAGTACAAGTTCAGGGATCTTGCCGACTACATACCTGAGTATGCTTGTGATGAGAACCGGATGGTGAACCACTTCTGGGATGCTCTAGACTTGGAGATACGTGACAGGGCAACACAATTGCCTAACATGATGTTTGCTCAAGTGGTTGACCAAGGATTGAAAGGGGAGAAGCAATGGGAAGAAAGGAAGAAGAGAGACGCCGAGGAGGCGAAAAAGAGAAGGTGGGAGAGTCATGGCTCCCAAGGTTCCAACAAAAAGGGGAACCACGGAGGAGGATCTTTCCGGGCACCACCACCACCATCTAGGGGGAACCAAGGCCCGAGTGGGCAAGGCTCGAGATCACAAGCCTCAGTGGCAACTCGTTGCAACAATTGCAAGAAGAACCACTCCGGTAAGTGTCGCGACCCCCCTAGATGTTTCCAATGCGGGGATACCGGGCATTTGAAGGCGCATTGCCCACAAATGGGTGGGGCAAGGTCATCGGGACCAAGTAGCGGGGCCACGGGGACGAGAAACCAAGCCCGGGGTTCCCAATCAACTAGGGGGCATGGAGGAGCAAGCGCGAGCAACGCGCCATCGGTGAATCAAGAAAGGACTCAAGCTAGAGTCTATGCGATGACGGAGGCGGATGCTCAAGCTAACCCGGATTCCGTTGCAGGTATTACCTGTTGTATACTTATGTTTTACCCTTGATTAGTCCATAAATTGAGGTTGCTAGTCGTTGGGATCATTGCACGAAGCTTTGGGGTCAAACGGAGCGAAATCGGGCGAAAGACGGCTGATTTCCGCCAACGCACACCAGGCTGGACCATACGCACGGCCGTGCGTTGGTCCGTGCGTTGGTGGCAGTAGCAACCAGGAAGAAATTGCTATACGCACGGCCGTGCGTTATCCGTGCGTTGGTCCGTGCGTTGGTGGCAGTAGCAACCGGGAAGAAATTGCTATACGCACGGACGTGCGTTGTCCGTGCGTTGGTCCGTGCGTTGGTGGCAGTAGCTCCGTTTTGAGGTTATAAGACACGCACGCCGTGCGTACCTCCTAGGCACGCCGTGCGTACCTCCTGGGCAGCCCAAAGTCAACTTTTTCGCGCCGTATGGCAACGTTAAGACCCGTTCTTGATCCCAAACACGTGTGTGAACATAATAAACCTCTCTAAATGTATAAGAATGGTAGGAAAGGTATCTCACATGACTTATAAATGTAGGAACACTAAAGATTAATGGGAAGCATGCACGAATCCTTATCGATACCGGAGCGCAACGTTCATTCGTAAGTGAGGCGTTCGCCGAGGGCTTAGAGATACAATCAATACCAATGACGCAAACTTTAGTGGTATCAACACCACTAGGGGAAGACGTTGAAAGAACCAATTACTATCCATCTTGTATGGTGGAAATCGGTGGCCAAACCTTGACTTGTGATTTCGTACCGCTGAGTATGATGGAGTTCGATGCAATCCTAGGGATGGATTGGCTAGAAAAGCATCATGCTAGGGTAGATTGCTACACAAAGGTTTTGGAACTCGAAGGCAATGATGGGGATACCCTACGCTTCGAGGGGGACCGAGACAAATCAAACACCTGTATCATATCCGCTGTGAGAGCGAGAAGTATGACGAGAAAGGGATGCCACGCTTATCTAGCATACGTGGTTGACAAAACCAAGGAGGAAACGAACATCGACGACGTGAGGGTGGTTTGTAAGTACCCGGATGTCTTCCCAAAGGACCTGCTGAGGCTTCCACCTGATAGGGAGATTGAATTTGTGATCGAGGTCGAGCCCGACACCAAACCAATCTCCATACCGCCATACCGTATGGCACCCGCTGAACTTAACGAGTTGAAAACCCAATTGCAAGAGCTTTTGGATAATGGTTTCATTAGACCAAGCCACTCCCCGTGGGGAGCACCGGTTCTTTTTGTGAAAAAGAAAGATGGGACACTTCGAATGTGCATTGACTATCGTCAACTGAACAAGGTCACAATCAAGAATAGGTATCCTTTGCCTAGGATTGATGACTTGTTTGATCAACTACGAGGAGCAACCGTGTTTTCGAAGATTGACTTGAGGTCGGGGTACCATCAATTGAAGATTAAGGAAGATGACATACCAAAGAGTGCTTTCCGCACAAGGTATGGGCATTTTGAGTTCCTTGTTATGTCGTTTGGGTTAACAAACGCCCCAGCGGCATTCATGGACTTGATGAACCGAGTATTCCATAAATACTTGGATCGATTCATGATTGTGTTCATAGATGACATCTTGATTTACTCAAAGAGTGAAGAAGAGCATGAGGAGCACTTGATACTTGTTCTAGAGACACTACGGGAGAAGCAACTTTATGCCAAATTTTCTAAATGTGAATTTTGGCTAAAGGAAATTGGCTTTCTCGGGCATGTGGTTTCGGGATCGGGAATTGCTGTTGATAACAAGAAGATAGAGACCATTACCGAATGGGAGAGACCAAAGAATGTCAAGGAAATTCGTAGTTTCCTTAGATTGGCAGGCTACTACAGAAAGTTCGTGGAAAAGTTCTCTGTTTTGGCGTCGCCGTTGACAAAGCTCACTCGAAAGGGAGCTAAGTTTATATGGGATGACAAATGTGAGAAAGGATTCATCGAACTGAAGAAGAGATTGACCGAGGCACCAGTACTTGCATTACCCAAACAGGGTATGGGGTACGATGTCTATAGTGACGCGAGCATCCAAGGGTTTGGGTGTGTGTTGATGCAGGAGGGGAGAGAAATTGCCTATGCTTCACGACAGTTGAAGAAGCATGAGGTAAATTACCCTACCCATGATCTGGAGCTGGGAGCAGTAGTGTTTGCACTGAAGATTTGGAGACATTATCTCTACGGAGAGACATGTCACATATATACTGATCATAAGAGCTTGAAGTACGTGTTTACTTAGAAAGAGTTAAACATGAGACAGAGACGGTGGATGGAGTTGATAAAGGACTACCATCTAGTTATTGAGTACCATCCAGGTAAAGCAAACGTTGTAGCAGATGCCCTCAGTCGGAAGAGTTCGTCTGGGGCATTGTTGACTAGTTTGAGGGCACTGAGGGCCCAATTGGATGTATCTAGCGACGGTGCCTTATTGGCACGATTCGAGGTGAGACCGACCTTACTTGATGAGATCAAGAAGGGTCAAGAGACTGACGTAGAACTTATAAAGGTCCGGGAACGCATGCAAGCGGGACCGGTGGAGGATTTCAGGGAAAGAGATGATGGTCTCTTGTTATTTCGTGACCGAGTGTGTGTACCGTCAGATGATGAGCTCCGAAAGTCCATCTTAGAGGAGGCTCATTCATCGGCTTATGCCATGCACCCGGGGGGCATGAAAATGTATCGTGATTTGAAAGAAAGTTACTGGTGGTCTGGTATGAAGAGGGAAATAGCTGAATACATTAGTCGATGCCTTACTTGTCAGCAAGTTAAGGCAGAACATCAGCATCCAGCAGGCTTGTTACAACCACTTTCCATTCCTGAATGGAAGTGGGAACATGTGACTATGGATTTCGTGGTAGGTTTACCACGGACAATTCGGAACTATGATGCAGTTTGGGTTGTTGTGGATAGGCTCACGAAGAGTGCACACTTCTTGCCTATCAACACTACCTACCCACTTGAGAGGTTAGCCAAATTGTATACGGATGAGATCGTGAGGCTGCATGGGGTCCCAGTGACCATTGTATCTGATAGGGACCCACGATTCACATCACGTTTTTGGCCGAAATTTCAGGAGTCTATGGGAACGAGGTTGAAGTTCAGTCTGAAAGAGTCATACAGATCTTAGAAGATATGCTGAGGGCTTGTGCATTGGAGTTCCAAGGAAGTTGGGACAACCACTTGGCACTTGTGGAATTTGCCTATAACAACAGTTATCAGGCAAGCATCGGTATGCCTCCATACGAGGCATTGTATGGGAGGAGGTGTCGTACACCGTTATGCTGGGACGAGGTTGGCATGGCCAAACTCGAGGGTACTGAGTTGGTTGAGGTCACCAAATCAAAGGTGAAGTTGATTCGAGAGAGACTCAAAGCGGCTCAGGATAGACAAAAGAGTTATGCAGATAAGCATCGAAGAACCTTAGAGTTTAAGGTTGATGACGAGGTATTCTTGAAAGTTTCCCCTTGGAAAGGAATCATTCGATTCCAAACCCGAGGAAAGCTTAACCCACGATATATAGGTCCATTCAGAATTATAGAGAGGATTGGGCCCGTAGCATATCGTCTACAGCTGACTCCGGAGTTAGAGAAGATACATAATGTGTTTCATGTATCCATGCTTAAGAAGTATGTGCATGATCCCTCTCACGTATTGGAAAAGCCGCCAGTAGAGGTACGTGAGGATTTGAACTACGCTGTGCAACCAATCAAGGTCACCGATAGAAAGGTGAAGAAACTGAGGAGCAAAGAAGTCCCAATGGTTAAAGTACTTTGGAAGAGCGATCGGGTCGAAGAAGAGACATGGGAAACAGAGGCTTTGATGAGGAAGGAGTACGCTTTCCTATTCGAGTAGAGCTGTGAATTTCGGGGACGAAATTCCTGTTAAGGGGGGGTGAACTTGTGACACCGCACCCGAACGTCCTTGAAAATTCAATTTAAAAATTCAAAGTTTATGTATTGAATTTCTGATTCCCAAACAATTGTAAATGATTGATGTTTTTACGTAATTAATGATCGATTATTATACCGTTCGAACTCGTATATTAGTGTCGGGCTTGCGAATACTCGTTTGGGCGTTATTAATAAATAAAAGAGCCTAACATTATCTAAATAGTGATACATAATCTTTCAAGACAATTTGAGGAAGGACGGGCGGCCCAACCATTATTTCGGGCCCAATCTGCTAAAAATAGCAAGTATTTGAGAATGGCATCCTAGACCCACTCGGGAGTGACCCACACGGCTAGTAGCCCAATAATATGAATGACAAATGTCAAAATAAGTGATAGAATGATTAGAGAAGAATACAAATGCCTATAGCCCCATCTTTGGCATTATTGAGCTAAATAATGGGAGTATGATTTTCCTTCTATGATATCCATCAAGTAAATTATTGATATGAGTCTACACATATTGGAGATCAATAATGTGATGTAGGAAGTTGACTTGTTCTAAATAAATTAGGATGAGTACAAAAAGACATCTTTGACAAGAGATAAAACAATAGGACCCGTCTTCCCATTTTTGGAAGTATTGGTAGATATTTTGGACCCCAAATTGAATGGGATCATTTGGAGACCATCCCACATGGCTTGAGTACCTGAAAGACAAAGGAAATGAGGGTTATTGACTTCATGGGGCGGACTTTGGCTCACCTACTCAAAACAACTTCAAGAGAAAACAAAAACAAAGGAGGTCCACCCCATATTTGTTCACAAGCCAAATATCTTCCCATGCCCTCTTGTAAGCCACATGATTTATCATTTTTTTGAGAGCTATTAGTCACCTCCACAACCCCCATTCGAACTCCCAAGATAAGAGAGAAGGAGAGAGCCACATACTCCAAGGGAGAGGTGAAGAGAGAAGCTGGCCGCAGGATTCGTTTTCAAGTAGATAGGGTTACTTGTTTGATCCATAACTTCAGCTTCACTCATCCAAATAAGGCGTATGATATACCAAAAGAAATCTCTCAAGACGAGGAATCCGTGAAGGTCTGGTTTGCAGAAATCGTAGTAGTGGAAGGCTTCCAAATCGTCCGAGCAAAACACAACCTCGCAGGAGAGGATTTAATCTTCTAAAGTGAGTTTTAACCCCAAAACATTACTTTTCATTTTCCAAATGATATGAACGATTGGTGGGACTATTATACACTAATTCAAGTGTATAATATGTCCTTATAAAGTTATTTTATGTGTGTAAAGGTTGGATACTAACCTAGAGCAAATCTTGGAAACTAGGAAACGAGTTAGCCGGAAAACACCCATTCTAGGGGCTGTTTTCGTATCAACGATTAGGGGTTGAACTAGCACTTTGAGGGGGCTGTTTAACACTCATTTCTAAGCAAGGAATCAGTTCTCAAGCTCCCTTGGCCGAGGCTTTGGTCATTGGATCGAGAAGGAAAGTTTTAAAGCTCATTTGAGGTGAGGATTGACATCTAATTGCTTACAACTTGTAGGTTAAGCATGAGATTACCTAAATGCCTAAATCATAATTTTTATGGATTATGATGATTATATTATGATGAAATATGGATATGGTTGCCAAAGAATGAAATTGGAAATGAGTTGAGAATGTATGAATAAAATGAGATTAAATGAGTTATAAATGAACTATTTTGTGAAATAGGCATTATACTCATGTATGAATTATGTGGATACATAAATGAATGTTTATGTGTTGAGATTGAACACTTAAGTTGCTGCTACATAATTATAAATATGTAGAGGATTACAAATAATGAGCATATTTGTATGATAACAATAATCTTAATAGTATTGAAATACTAGTTAGTGATTATTGGAAATTATTGATGGAATTGATCCTAGGGATTGGATTGTATGAAATGCACTTGAATATACTTCAAGTGTATATGGTGACTTAGTATGAAACTAAGGTTAAGTGGTGGAAAGTCTTTAAGGATGACCCATGGTAGTTTATTGATATGTTAATTCTAGGCATAGGGTTGCTTAAGAATTGGACCTTCATGCATGGTGATGTGATAGAGCTGAGCTCTAGGATGCATGGTAAGGTGGTAGACTTGTAGTCTATGTATTGAATAGCTAGAGCCGAGCTCTAGGGCTTGCGTGGTGATGTGATAGAGCCGAGCTCTAGAACACAAGGTAAGGACATTGACCCGAGTGACATGAATTGTATGGTGATGTGGTAGAGTGCTGACCCCTTCGGGGGCGTCCCACTACCATTTTTCAGGTTGAGGCTAGAGCTTGCTTCCTGTGCTCGTTGCTCGAGAGATCATCTAGGAGGGAAGACTTGGTTCGTGCTACCTCCATTCTGTTTTTAAACATTAAAAAACATGCTCATGAATATTTTACTATAGAGCCTGCGTGCTCATGTTAGCCACGTGTGGCATTTGTGTTCAAACTATGTTTTCCGCTACGTATTCGATTGCTTGTTATGTTGTTTATGGATGGCTTACGTGTGAATGATATTCGAGACGCCTTGTATAATATGAATGTGTTGGACTGCGGTTGACTATTCGTATTGTACGGCGGGTTGTTGACGTGTCTGGGGAGGTCCGGGGCGTGACAAATTAAATGTGTTTTTATGGATTATTAATGATTAATAATGGCTAAGAATGAGAGGACTATTGTCTATAAGGGAAAGGAGCATAATATACAAATGTAAAAATAAAATAATAAATCGTGTATGATTATGTGCTATGAGCATGTTGGCTTGAAAATGGAATTAACTATAAACTTTATGTTGAAATATAATTTTTACTTCATATAAGAGTATATGAGTGATTAAAAGTTATATTTTGTATATGGATGTGAACTATATTTTCAAAGGAAAATTAGTTTGGAATTTGCCTATATAACTATGAATTGAAAAGTTGTTTTGTTGGAATTTATCCGACTAGTATTAGGATACTAGTCGGGGTATTGGAATGAGAATATGTTATAATTGATCCAAGGTTGGGATTGTGAAATGTTGAGCCTTAAGTAGTCTTAAGAGATACTAAGGTGGATAAGTATGAACTTTAAGTGATACTAGGGGTAGGCCGTAGGCCTTAAGGGATACCCAAGATAAAGTGAATAATAAATTGATCCTAGATATAGGATTGGCCTAAGGGTGTATTCGGTAGTCCTTGAGGATAGCCGGTTGAATTAAGGTAAATAGCAAGGACCATGGCCCTTCCCGACTCTAGAGAGCGGGGTTGGATAGCATGGACTTGCAACGTGATCACGGGTTACGGTGGAATCCGAACCGGAGACCTTACGAGGCTCCCGACAACGGTGACAAATCTCTTACGGGTTAGGGTGGAATCCGAACCGGAGACCTTACGAGGCTCCCGGGCTCCCGGCAGCGGTAACACTTAAGGTAGGACCCCGAATGGACCTTACCTTCCTAAGGGATGATGGGTATGAGTCCAGGGGCGGGATGTTGGACTCCGGCCCGAGGGCCCGATGAGGCCTCGGATAGCGGTGACAAATCTCGTAAAGGATGATAAGACCTACAGGCGGTGTCGTGCTAACGACGAGTATAATGGAATGTAAAAAGGGGCCCGTGTGCCGACAAATTAATTAATTAACTTATTATGAAGATAATAAGGGTTAAAGAAGAACTATCATTATATTATGACATCACTCTATTTGAGGGTCTTAGAAATTGAAACATTGATTATACTTAGTAAAGTTGTCATTGTACTTTTCGAATGCTTCCAAGTACTGACCTCCCCTTCACGGGGAAGGCCACCTCACAGTTTCAGGTAGAAGTTGAGCTTGCTACCAGTGCCCGTTGCTTCGGGATAAGCAGTGTGCATGTTTACTTCACCTGTCTTACTAACCTAACTGTGACTTTAGCAGCGAAGTAAACGCCTCCTAAGAATTTTGCTAGAAGGACACAAAATGTGTACACAAAATGAGTTGTTTGTGACAGACAAAATTTCTGTGAAGGACAGACACGTGGACACATTTTTTGTACACATTGTGAGCTCATTAATAGAAAAAATAAAATTAAAACTATAACTTTTTTATATCACTTCGTATGTAAATATACTATGATCAAACCATCTTTGCTTCATTTCTAATTTGTGATAAGAATTCCATATTGTGTTTTGCACCATAAAGTACAATCCCATTTTCAATCTAAAATTACGACTTGGTGCAACCACACACCTGCGACAAATTAATTGGTTTGAAATATCATATCATCTTCCTAAAATGAAGTTCATTTCACGTTTACTCTTTTTATCTTTGACACAACTATATTATAAATCTGTGTCAAAATAGTTTTTTGGTAAGCTAACTCTTCCATTTTTTATTCAACATCATTTGAGTGTAGTTTTAAATATGAAAGTTTCAATCATTGATGCTAATTTAAGTATTATAGGGGATAGTAAAATTAACCTCAAATAAGCATAATAAATTTAATTAAGGGCCTTTTTTTTTGAGAAAATAGAATTAATTGCCGTTAATAAAGTCAAAGTTTAAACTGTCAACAATACAATTAGGAGGATTAAACCACCAATAACGCCTATCAAACAAAGAACAAGCCACTCTAGCTTACTCAGGAGCAACTTTGTTCGCAAATAGCCTAACGTGAGAAAAACGAAGATTCAAGAACTCCGAACTCATAACTCTAATATCATCCGCTATAACACCCAAAGAAGATACACTGTTTTAGTTGTGAATTTCTGATATGGCCCCGACCACATCAGACTCCATCACTCCCCTTCCACGTTTGGCCAACATTGCTCTTTTTACCAGTTTAGAGCTTCACGAATGCTCAATAATTCAGCTTCCAACGGAGTAAAATTCCGAGACCAAGAGAAACAGAAATCCCCTTGATCATTTGAGGACTTTATTTGTATCGTGGAGATAAAATAGATCAAATACAACTTTATTACTTTAGAAACAAATGACAAACTGTTTTGGAAGATTTAAATAAGGAAAGTGTCAAATAGGAGTGCAAATGAGCTGAGCCGCTCGGTCAAACTTGAACTCGAGTTGAGCTCGAGCCGGTTCGTTAAGCAAATGAGCCAAGATCAATTCCTTTGAGCTCGTGAGCTCGCGAGCCAACTCGTGAGTTAATTTTAAAAAAATATTAAATAAATAAATGATTATATATTTATTCGTATATGTATTATATTGATTTATTTATTGGTGTTTATTTTTTGTATATTTTAAAATTTGATTGATAGTAAAGTAAGGAGTAAGAGTGTGAGTGAAAGAGAGAAGCTAAAAAATGAAAACAATTAAGTACAATATTAGATATTATTTATCTAATATATAATAATATAATTTTAATAATTTGAAAAATAAAATTTTATTTTTAGCTCGAATTCCAACTCTAGTTCGAGCATCTTTGAGTTCGACATGACACGTTTGCACCCCTAATGTCAAACATTATTAGTTATTACAATGGTGAGAGTAAAAATGGTCTCTTAAGCAAATTCGAGAAAAAATATAATTTGTTTTCATTACTACATAATTTAACAGTATAAAAAAAATGTTTCACATGAATGAAATGATAAATCTCATAATTTAAAATGTACAAACGGACAGATATCTAAAACTCTGTTTTTATTAGTTTTGCTTATTCGAAGTCAACGTCCCCAATAATAATAGGAGTGATAATAATTCGAGTAATAAAAACAAGTACGGAGTACATCAGGACACGTCTTCCGGGCTCTCTAACGCTCTCCCAACGAAACAACGTTTCTATCTCCTCTGAATTTTCCGGCACCGCCGTTCACATGGCGGCGATGTCGCTCTCGAACCTCCGCTACTCCGATAGCCTCACAGTCGTCGGCATCTCAATTTGCACAGCCATTATCTGCGAGGCCATCTCGTGGCTCCTAATCTACCGCACAGCCTCCTACAAGTCCCTGAAGTCCTCCATCGACAAGGCCTCCAAGAAGCTCGAAACTATGAAGACTCTCGAATCTTCCAGTCCCGCAGCACTTCTCACTAGCAAAAAGTCCAAAACTAAGAAAATCGACCGGGTCGAGACATCGCTGAAGGAGTCGAGCCGCGACCTATCACTCTTCAAGTTCAAATCGGGGTTTGTAGTCGCGGTGGTTCTGTTCCTTGTCTTCGGATTTCTCAACAACCTGTTTGAGGGGAAGCCAGTGGCGAAATTGCCCTTTGTGCCGATTCGGCTTGTTCAGAAGATGAGTCACCGCGGATTGCCAGGGGAGGACATGACCGATTGTTCAATGGCGTTTTTATATTTTCTTTGCTCGATTAGTATTCGCACCAATCTTCAGAAGTTCCTAGGGTTCTCCCCACCCCGCGGAGCTGCAGGAGCTGGTCTCTTCCCTATGCCTGATCCAAAGACCAATTGATCCCGGGTGAATCTGATTATTGCTTTTTAGCCTTGATATTTTTAATTTTTAGTTTTTATATTTGAATTCTGGCTATTCGAGATAGTTGCTTCAGATTTTTTATTTTTCTATTTTACACATTATGATTGTAGCAATAATTTCATCTTACCCACATAGTTTGATTCTTAACCGAATCTTTGCATTTGTGAACATTATCTTATCATTGGGTTCCTCAATTTCCGTTGGAAGCTTAAGTTTTTGATGGTGGTGTTTACTTTTTTTTTATTGTGTTTGCTCCATATGAAGGGCTTTACCCTGATGTTTCATTCTATGTAAAATGCTGTTTCTTTGTCCTGAAATTTTCTTATTTATTCTAGTTGATTTTGCTAGTTGTGGAACATCTTGTTTTGATGTTATACATTTGTGTATGTAACAGTTAGAGCATCTTCCACCTTTTTGTTAAATGCCCCCTTGGTTCCATAAAATGCTAGGAATTGTGGAACCAAATTATTTGAACAACATAACAGTTACTTATGAGACTGAGAGAAAAAGAGATTTTCATCTCTAAATTTTCACGATATTTGTATAAATATCCTGCTCAATATCTACAATAGTATAGTTGTGAGATTTCTTTTAGAGGTAGCATTGCTCTTGACCAGCATTGATACCTATACAAAGGTCTACTACTAGTAGTCCTCAAATGTGGTTCACCTAGCATCTCCATCTTATACTAACACTCCATATGTCCCCTTTTTTATCTTCATTCTCTCATTTCCAGTCTGTCCCTATATGCTGTTTTCCACACAGTTTTCAATTTTAAATATGGTGCTGTGAAACAGTAGATAATTGGTAAGGATGGGGTGGATATTTTAGTCTATTTTCCATAGTGACTATTTGAATCAATGCTAGTTCTCAGCTCAAGGTGTTAATAATTTGACAAATAATGATTGGAAAATAGGGGCCTGCGAAGTCCCATAATCTAATAAATGTGTTATACTATCTGCTATGGTGTTATACTATGATTTTGACTATTTGAATCAATTATAGTTCTCAGCTCAAGTGAATAAAATGATGAGTTAGGCAAACACTTTGAGAATCTGTGAAACTTGTCAATGGAAAAGGGCTGAAGTCTCAGAATCTAACAAATTTGTTACAGTTTTATATTATTGGCCGAAACCCACAGTATAAACTACAAAGCACAAACTTCATCAGTAGTTCGGTACATGCATGTAAGGAGGATGTGACTATCTAGATTATAGGCCCTTATAAGATTAAGAGCCTGTTTGGTGGCCAGATCTTGCACATGAAGCAGAATAAGTTGTTTTTGACTCTCTCTCTTGCTCAAATGAATATTAGTGACCTAGTCATCCCCCCCCCATTTCTAAATATAAGTATGACTCTACCATACATTGATTTTCTCACACAGAGGTAAGGTTTGGTTTTTAGGTTCAGGTGCTTTCCTTGCAAATTTATGTCTTCTAGAAGTTGACAATGTGGGTTTGCCGATGAAAAGGAAACCTAATGACAGTGTAGAGGAATGTTCAGGTCCAAACATTCCCCGTCCGAACATCCCCATTTGGGGTCCTTCCCGGTGGAATTTTTTGATGAAATTTTTTGAGCATGTTCCTTATCAAGTCTAGTTTGTCCATACCAAATTTCAGCTCAAAATTCGATCGGGAAGGCATTCAAATGATTTTTCGAAGTTGACTGCCTCAAAATATACATATAAAAACGCAGTCAACTTCAAAAAATGATTTGAATGCCTTCCCGATCGAATTTTGAGCTGAAATTTGGTATGGGCAAACTAGACTTGATGAGGAATATGCTCAAAAAATTTCATCAAAAAATTCCACCGGGAAGGGCCCCCCCAAACGGGGATGTTCGGACGGAGGATCCTGTCCGAACGTTCGGACAGGATCATTCTTGTGACAGTGTATGTCTTCTAAAATTATGTGCCCTTACGAGCTGGGAAACTAGTTTGAGAAAAATCTCATTAGAAGCCGAATTATTTGCTTTAACTGGTGCTTCAAATAGAGAACAATTCACGGTATTGGATTAAACTGGACTCAGTATTGGGCTATTTTGACATAATGTTTAGTTTTAATATACAGACTGAGAGTCCAAACGTGAGGGAACGAGGAGGGATATATTTGAGGACTGGTTCACTTATTAAGGGTCTGTTTGCAACAGCTTCTACTTTTAAAAAAGTGTTTTTTTAAGGAAATAGGGAGAAGTAATTAAATAAAAGTTGATAGTGTTTGAGAAAAAAGTGATTTTGAAAAGTAAATGTGAGTAGTGTTTGGTAAAATAATTGTTTTTTGTGTAATAGAAAAAGTAAAAACACTTTTGACGCGGAAGCCGAGAAAAATAAAAGTTGTAGTGTTTGGGAAAATAAGTGTTTTTTAAAGCCAAAAGCTGAGAAGTGCTTTTTTAAAAGCAGTTTCAAACCAACCCTAAGTGTATCTAAACTAGGGGCAGACACGGTCCCGATTCTGAAAAGGAATTGTAGTGTGATTGTTCTGGTGTATGTTACCCTTTGAACTACCCCGCATTCCGTCCGGAACAGGGAGCACTGTCCAGTTTCATACTATACAATTTTGGGTCATCTATAGCTTGGTGAAACTGGCTATATTATCTAACCACTGCGTACATGCCGAGTACACCCTACTTGGGGCAAGGCCTTGCCAGTCAGGATATTTTTTACTTGGATTGAAATCTTTTGTCTTATCTGGTCTTGCTTGTTTAAGTCTGGTCCGGTAGATGTCTAGTCTATATTGATCTTGTGTGGTCCGAGGCTGAAACCATTCCATGTAAAAACATCCTTAGTACTTTGACTCATATTTTTCCATATTTTGAGTAACTTGTTGAGTACTTGGCAATTTTCTCTACTCAATTTTTTCTACTCGGTGAGAAGGTTAACTCGCCGAGTTACTCAATAGCTAGTAAGTTGATTTTTTTTGGGCGGGGGGTGAATAATTAGTAGGTATTCTAAAATTTGGATATAATAAAATTACAATTTCAGTTTAGGTTTGGGGACCGGAGGATGAAGAAGAAAGGGACGTCCTTGAACCCAATAAAGATTAGTTTCAGATAAAAGTTTAAGTTGAAGCATTATTAGATGATTAATAATCTTTGAAGTTAGAATGTTTATAATTATTGGGATTTGTTGGTACTTCATCTTTAAGATTGTTACTATCTTACTCATCTTACTTATATTATAAGACTAATACTCCGTATATTAGAAGAATTTTGACCGAATTGGACCAGAATCCAACATAGACCTTAACAGGTCAGATTACTATATATTGGGCATTGAGAACAACACTGGAATTGGACCATTCCTAGGTGAATGGACCCGGGCTTGGGTTTATTCCATGCCAAACCCAGGAATCAATCAGACATTACATTCCAGTTGGTGCTCCAAAACAGACACAAATAGCTTAATATGGATTGGAGTCAACCCCAAGACTGGCATATTGAGTTATGGACAATCCACTTAAAGCAAAGTCCTAAAGAGTATCATTAGGCTTTTTGTTATGTATCGACAGTATCGTACAACAAAAAGCTTATAACTTTTTTCATTAATGAGTTTTTCTAAATGCTTCTGAGTCTCTGACTCCATTTTTACTGAGCCTTCTGTTTTAAGCTTTATGTTTTTGTGCTAATGAATCGTACTTTGGACAAACCCTTCTGGACCTTGATCCTGCTTGCTAGGTTAAAATCTTTCAAAAGATAGGCAATCAATCTTTTTGGAAGTATTATCTTTACTTCTCTTAAGCAAAATATTCTGAACATCTCTTCCATAGTCAAAGATTTGTGTATCAATCATTTCAAATCACGGTATTTATTACTTTAGAAATGGTGATTTAAGATACTAATATGAATTAAATAATTAATTGCTTCCATATTTCAGAATCTCCAACGAAATTTATCTCACGCTCATCGATATATATTGAGTAAGCTTTGCTCAAACCAGAACCTAGCTTCCTGTATAGAAAAGACACAGGATTTAGGATGTTTTCTTTTGGACTGTTTTCAGTCCCAGATCAGACCAGACCAGATCAGACTTGACTTCCGTAGTTATAAAATACACAGAGAACATACGTTTACCAGACAAGACCAGTTCAGACCAGACCAGACCAGCAAATTTCAGTCCAAAAGAAAACATCCGATTTTTCAGAAAGCAAATTTCAGTCCAAAAGTTAGTGGTTTTGGAACCTAACTTGCCCAAATCTCAGTCCAATTTTTCTGAAATTTCCAACCTCGATATATACATTGGACATTTTTCAGAAATTTCCAACTCCGATATAAACACTAGGAGCCCGTTTGGAGAACTCTGTTTTCGGCTTATCAGGCTTATCAGCCAGCTTTTTCACCAAACACGTAACTTTTACTTTCGCGCGCTGAATTGTGTAATAAGCCGAAAAAGTAAGGTTGGAGTTACTTTTCTGGCTGTATTGGCTGAAGTTACTGTAGAGGACCATTTTAGCTATTTTTACATATAATTTTTTCTTTAATTTATTAATAAAATATATTTTTAAAATATTTTTTTCTTAAATCAGCAGAATCAGCCAAAACAGCCACTCCAGCCAGAATATCATAAATTTCAGCAGAATCAGCCAAAACAGCCGATTTTGGTGCTACCAAACGGGCTCTAGAATGTACTTGAATTTGGCTGTTGAAGGAAATTTATATTTCATCCTTCAACGGAGGTAAAAATGGGTTTACTGTTATAATCTCAATGGACAGGCAAAGTAAAAGTCTAAAAGAGGTAAAATTTTAATGACTTGGATATATGCTATATTTTTAAGATTTAAGATGTTTTAATTAGATTGGAATTTTCTGGTTTGATTTGACGTGGTCTAGTCTATTTATGTGTAGTTTGGTTTCGTCTGATCTGAATTAGTCTGATCTGCTTAAATCTAATATAGTCTGATCAAGGATTGAAATAAGTCTAAGTAAAAACATTCTTGAGTCCAATGGGAAGTAGAACGGAAAGTTTTGAAGCAAACTGATTTACTGCAAACAGGACCCAAACCCATTGGAAGAGCTAACCAAATTTTGCCCAAATATTTGATAGGGTTTACAATGTCTCATGACTCGAGCCTAACAAAACCTTTTCTAAAACTAATTGTTAGAATCTATAAGTGGGTATGTTTGGCAAATGGCTTATCAGCAAGCTTTTAGCTTGTTTGACCCATTTCAGCTGTTTGATTAGTCAAAAAAGTTAATACTACGTAATAATGTTTGGTAAATGGCTTTTAAAATTAGCTTGTTGAGTTTAAAAAGCTGAAAAAATGGATTGTTGAAGAAGCTAAGGGGAGCAACTTCTTCACTCGGCTGATTCAATTTATTCCCATAAGGTTATAGCTCGAAGCTCCCAAAGTGACTACATGTAGCTCCAATTTTTTCCCATTGTGGTTTTTCTCGTTTTATTTAACTTAGTCAAC